CAGCAATTAGCTGGAAGCAAATATTCCTCCTCATTTTCCTGGAGTGTGTGGTAGAACAGTGTCTCACAAGTTTAACATCGCCATTATCATGTGCAAACATCGTCAAAGCTCAACCCATTTGCCTGTAGGTTGCTTTTATATTTTCAAATGTTCCCAAAGCAGCCTCGTTGCTGCCTGGGCAATAACCAGACGATGGTTTGTTCTCTTCGGACTGCCATAACAAACAACCGCTGGAAATACTCTGATGCTTCTACAGCTGGGAGTATCAATCAGAGAGAATGCCTGTTTTACACAAATCTTTAATAGATTTTTGTTTGTTTGTTTCAGCTGAAAGGAGGCCCAGTGTACTGCATGCCATACAAAGAGCCCTGGTCGCTCCCACCCATGGCTCCCACCTCCCTCCCAGCTGCAGCCCCGGCTCCATCTTGCTTCCTGCTGCAAAATCTGCTTTGCCTCTGATACACTTGTGCGATAACAGGGATCTGGGGGCAGATATTTGTCCTTTCTGTAACTCCTAGGGACATAAACAGCATGTTGTGACCAACCGAGCACACTGAGCTTGCAACGCTCCTTGCCCGGCTTGTCTGCAACCTGAAATCTTCCGGCGAACTGGGATTTGTATGCATGGGGGCACGCCGCGCGGTCTGTGCTTGATGGGGAAGGAATGCGTTCAGATAGACCAATAGTCTCTGGTCACACACGTTTGATGGTGGAAATAAAGATTGCAGAGAGCTGTATGAACAATGATAAATGCTTCTCACAGAAAGGGCAGCTAATCCCAGAGGCTTCAGCTATTTTTCCTCGTTCAGAACGCTGCTAGGTGGAAATACCTGCCCGCACTTCTGTCGTTAATGCCTGAGAGCTTGAGAGCGAACTAAAAACCCGGTGCTGGCTGCATTGACTCCAGTAAACAACTTCAGCCCCTAAGAAACACTTCCCGTGGGTTTTGCTTGGGGTCTTTGGGTATAAATCAGAGCAAAATCAATCACCTGGGGCAGCCCATGTGCAGGGTCAATGCCTGGGACTCACGAGGCAGACCCATGGTGAGGTCACGGCCCCTGCAGACGTGTGCCACCATCCAGGAGCAGGAGCCACCAGTGAGGAGGGACAGGGGACACGAGGAGCATCTCAGCTGGTGGCAGGGCACCATCACCAGCTCAGGGCACGGGCTGGGTGACCAGGGACTGCTCCTGCTCTGCAGGTGGCTTTGGGTCCCACCACAGCGCATCTGCTCGGAGGACCTGCCGGCACTTCAGTGTCCGCAGGGCTGTGCCCTGCTGTGAGAACACCGTCCTTGTTAAGCAGCAGCACCACATGGCTTCTCCTTGATTAGATAATCATCTTTAAGCCCCAGACTTGGGTGTTTTGGGGTCTGAGCAGCTTCTGCTGTAATACAGGGCCTTGTGGAGATGTCTGGTCACAGACACCTCGCTCTGTAGCCCTCACACAGGGAGGAGTTGCACACCTGGCCTCTAGTGTACCAAGAAAAATCATGTCTCCATCCCGATTTCGGGGGCACCGGGCTATTTAGGGCAACCCTGAGCAATTCTGCAGTGCTCTGAGAGCCCCACGTCACTGGGATGTGAAGGATGGGGGCAGATTTGGTGCTGCGTGCTGCCTGGCCAGGGGAAAGTCCCAAACATTTGCTGTTCCTCCTTTCCAGGTCGTGCCGTAGCCAGGTCCTGTTCTGCGCAGTGCATGCTGCATTAGGAGAACATCAGCTGTATTTGCTGCATGGATTTATGTTCACAGCCTGTGAACCTATGGCTCCAGAGGGAAAAATGATAGCATGAAAGATAATACCTGCTGGCAGCTTTTGCACCAGCCAGAAGGAGGCACGAATTATCTCCAGTAGTTATCAGTCATGCTTATAATGCAGAGCTCCTTTCAAGATGTGGTGGGACACGGGATTTTTACACATTAAATGTTAAAAGGCAGTGTCAGCTTTCACAGTAATTTAAGGCTGGTGTTTGTTCCTGCCTTATTCTGGCTTCCTAAGTACACCAAGGGACATCTTTCATCTTTTCGGGAGGCTTATCGTTATTAGACATCATAAGCAAAAAGCTTTAAGCAGGCTCACCAGTGCTCGTAGACTGGCTTCATTCAAAATGCAGGGCGTTGCTTCTGCCCCTGCTGCGGGACAGTTGGCCAAGGGGGAGCCGGCTGCGTGCAGGGGCTGTGTGCAGGTCTTGCACAACGTCACCGCCCGATTCCCAGACGTGCTCTGCTCCTGCATGGGGGAGAGGAACCACCGAAACTGGGCCACAGGCCAGTCTGCGCCCTGGTGCTTGTGGGGAGCAGTTTTCAGTGCTTTGCAGCTGGGTTCCAAAACATGCAGCCTCCTGTCCTGCCGGCCCCTCGCACTCCTCCCCTCTATCAGGAGCGGTGGCTGCAGGCAGGCAGCAATGTTCCAGCCAGCCACCACCTCTGCCAGGCTGCCCAGGAGCCAGCGGTGCCAAGGGGGCCGTGATGGAGATGTCAGGGACCAAGAGGCTTGCAGCAGTGTGAGGGGCCTCAGATTTGGTGACAGCAGCATGGGGATGCCCTGCCAGCAGCCAGCTCCTTCAGCATCCCAGCCTGGCACCATGGGGGGGCTCTGCGAGGAGCCGCTGCATCCCCAGGCAGGAACAGCCCATGACAGAGAAGCCTCCGCACCAGCCTTGATTGCAGGACCCACCTTTAGCCAGAGGCTCAGGTGCTATGCTCGGCCCCTTGCAGTCTGGAGCACGCGTTCCCTTCCCTCTGCGGGTCTCTAATCATGCTCCTGACAGTCACCCTCTTATCCACTCTTCTATTTCTGGCATGCATGTCAAAGATGACAGGATATTAATCAGCCAGGCGTTCTTTATTGCTTCTTGTCAGCAGTGAGCTCTCTTCTAGAAAGGTGTCTCACCCCAGCTTTGTGTAGGAGAGGCTCCATCAAAGCCGGGCAAGCGATGAGACTGCCGGGACCAGGACTTGTTGCCCCAGGCTGATGCAGCAGGGGCTCGGGAGGCAGAGGCTGGCAGCTGAACCCAGGTCCCTGCCTGGGGCAGCAATGCTGCGGGACCCACGGAGTGCCTGGGTTTCAGGCACATCCACCCCAGCCCTCGTCCCAGCTGCTCCCACTGCCAAGTGCCTTACGCAAGCTTCTTACCTCAGAGCGATCACAAGCCGGACTGATACGGGTAACACTAATCGCATGCATGCCAAGATCCCTTTCCCATAAAACCGTGCTAATTGACACTGATTGCGTTTCCCCGCTCCAAGTCCTTTATCCATGAAATCTGGCAGTGGCCGTCCCGTCCCGTGGCACAGGACGGGTGCCAGCAGGGGCTGCATGGACCTGGGACATCCTGTTTACTCCGGCCAGGCAATGGCAGGTCACCAACACCAGCACCGGGGGAAGTCCCCGGCACCTGGGGACGCTCATTAGGTGGCTCCTCACCCGGCTCCTTTACGCCCTGCCATGTGTCAGAGCTGCTGATTTAAAAATCTGAGCTCGGTAGCTATTGTTTGACATCTTCCTGCAGCCATCGCAGGGTGGGAAGTGTTTTAGAGCGATTATGTTTTATAACATGCTGTATTGTTTGGCTCTTGCCCTCCAAATGCTGAACAGAAATATTTATCAAGTACCATGACTTCTTACATGACTTCTCACCCTCTGCCTCTCAGGGCCGGGCAGAGGTTTCTCCTCGTGCTCGCTGCTTCTTCCATCAGTTGTGTGGGCTCCAGAGGTACTTGCAGTGTGCTATAAACCTAAGGTCTTTATCTTACTCTGTATTTCCTCAGCTGCCTCGTGCCACGTGTAGCAGGCGAGCCCCCCATGGACAGGAGCCACCCCAGGCACGGACTTGGATGAGCGCAGCTGCAGTCCTGCAAGCACCCGCCCAGGCTGTGCCTTTGGATCCACACAACATCAACACGATGTGCTGCTCCCCGTGGGGCCCTGGGCTGTGGCCAGGGCGGCCAGCATCCCTCCTCACCCCGGGGAGCGTGGCTGTGACCCACGGGGCGTCACACAGGACACGCGTTTGGCTTCCAGCAGCAACGAGAAAATGCGAAGAATGCCGGAGCCGTCACCCCGCTGCAGGGAGCAGGCCTTATAACTCGCACATCTCCACTCTGATGCGCCTGATTAAAGGTACCGGCCTTTAATCCAGGCACCAGTGATGACAGCTTTATCCAGCTGGTGTTAGGGAAGGCTCCTCGCCACCACGGTGCCCCTCGGGGCAGGGCGCAGGGCTCTGCTCGCGTGGCTCCAGCCGGGCGAGCAGCATCTCCGGGGATGAACCTCCCCAGCAGCCCCCGAGCAGCCGCCACCAGAGCGGGCAGACCAAGGCGAGATGCACACAGCAGTTAATTTCTTCTCTACAAATTACCAAATTGCAGGCTCGCTTTTTAATTGCACACCCTTTGAGGGAGGCTGTGGCGTGGCTGGGGCGTGTTTCAGCCCATGGTCACTGGAGAGCCGAAATATCTTGGCTGATCTGGGAGGCTGGGGGATGGCGAGCTCCCCAGCCAGGCTCACACACAGGTTCATGGCTCGCTCCACACCCCAAAAGCCCACACCAGCCCCTCCGCCTCCACGGGCAGAGCCCGGGCCAGAAGCAGAAGGGATGGGATGGGTCAGAGTTGCTCCCTGTCCCATCCCGAGGCAGTGCCAGCAGCGTGCCACATCTGCTGCCATCACACTAGGCTTGTGCAGGGACTGACTCAGTGGTAAGAAGGGGGAAGGAAATAAGGAAATAGGAAGGTGCTCAGGGGAAGGGCAGCATCCCAGAGCACAGGGCGCTGCTTCCTGGCCACAGCCCCATGCCCTAGAAACTGCAGTGACAAAGGCCAGTAGGTGTGAGCGGCACCAAATGGCTCACAGGGGTGTGATGGAGAGATGATTTGGCTGGTGCAGGGGGTTTCTCACACAGCTGCACACCAGCAGCTGCCCTGGGCAGCACTAACCCATAACACAGCACAGCTGTGTGCTGCCCTCACGGGGTTTTTATTGGCCATCCATGGGCTTTGCTCACCCCAGCTGGTGCTGGCCAGGCTATTTAGGTGATGCAGGAAGCAAAGGGTGGTCTTTTGCATGGGTGCTGTGCCTTTTCTTCATCACCTCATGCTGCAATTGTTGGCTGGGACCTGGTCTTGGCCACCCCCAGGTTCATGTGGCACCTGTCCACCTGGCACATGGGAGCTGTGTTCCTGGGAGAGGCTCAGGTAATGGGGCTCAGGGAGTCAGCAGCCTCCTGAGCTGGTCAGGGACAAGGCTCCTGTTCTAGGGAGCTGCTCAAGTGCTGGGGTGGCAGCGGGACCCCCAGTCAGCCTTTGATCCATTTGGCTGTGGGGAAATCTGCTAGAGGTTTTGATGCAGCTTTTGGTGAATGTCTTTGAGGTGCTGTTTAGCCTCTCTGCCCAGTGATGGAGGGCTCGTGTCCCCACCCTGTGTGTCTGTGCTCTACAAATGTGCCTGCAGCACCTCCCTCCACACCATTCCTGTTGGGGGCTTGTCTTGTTAGCAGGGCAGCTCTCTGCTGGATGCCCCCCTCCTTCATCTTTTGGTGCAGTGTTGGAAGTGGTCCCCAGAGAAGTGGCTGTGGGGGGTCTCCAAAACCAAAGTGGCTCGTTCCAGTGTTAGTGACAGTCCTGCAGGGAACAGGAGGTTAGACCAGAGTCCTCCAGAAATTCTTTGCAACCTGTATTATTGTTCTCCAGCACAAGTTTATTGGTGCTCTGACCTTTATAGTGTAGGACAGCCCAGTTTCGAGGACTCAGAGGCTTTTATCAGCTATGTCCCCTGCGTCACATCCTTAGCCATTGCTTCCCTGTACCAAATCTGTCCTCCTTTGCATCACCTGTGCCCTCAGGCCCCAACCTGTCCTTGTGCTCTGAGTGTTTGAAGGTGCTGAGGCCATCCCGTGGGTGACTCAGGTGACCGGCATTAGCAGCGTGTGCTCTGTGCTGTTTATGGCACTGTCAACCTGTGTCATCTGTTTGTCCTACGAGGGAAGATTTTTCTAGTCACTTAGTTAATTGGTTAAAACATTAAATTATGCAACACTAGGAACTGATCCCTAGGAGCTGCTCAGAACAGCCAAATGGCATCTCTAATTCTCTCTTGCGCTCCAGATTTGGTCAGAGCATCTGTTTGCAGGCAGTGTCCTTGCTCAGGATGTCAGGTGACATTAAAAACCTTGAGGAAAGGAGATTACAAGGCATCAGCCCGCTTGTCAGGCAGGACTGTAGTGTTTAAAAAAAAAAAAAAAAAGCCTAGGAACAGCAGCTGTCTCACAAACCTCTCTCAAGGAACATGCTGCCTGGCAGGGCATAATGTGCCTGGGCACCACCTTGCAGCTTGGTGGCTTGGATGCTTGGCTGTGGGGGGAAATCGGTGGCACCTGGGCACCCTTACCCTATCTTGCCCTGAGCTGCAGCCCAAGGGCCTCTCCAAAAGTCACTCAAAAACTACAGGTGGTTGAAGGAGCAAGTTCCCTGTGGGTGCAAGCACTGCTGGCTGCTCCCACCAGTTCCTGGCTGAGCCTCCCTGTGCCATTGGAGCATTGGGGGGTGTGAGTGACTTGATCACTGGCTGCCCCTTGTTTGCTCAGCACCTGAGGAGCTCTGGGGAAGGAGCAGGATGTCTGGCTAAGTCTGCTGATGTACCAAGTTCTTTCCAGCCCCCAGTGGTTACGGGACTGTGCTGGGTGTGGGGCAGGTGGAGGCAGGACGGTGCGTGGAGCTCTGCACAAAGCACAGAGCTCGGTCTCTGTGCATGGCTCTTTGTTCACATTCTTGGGGATGCCTCTCAAACTCTGTTCTCAGCTCAAAAGCTTTCCAGGCAGATTGGATCAGGAGAGGGCTGTTGGAGGGGTCACAGCCCACGCAGCACGGGGGCCTCTGGCAATCAGTCCTCAGATGAGAAAACCCCTCGTGAGCGCTCCTGCAGTACAGTTTGTCTCCTCCCTGTCAGCTCCAGTGCTCGGTGGAATAAACTACACAAGGATGGCCCCAATCTCGATGTAACGTGATAAATTATGTAATGCCATGTCACAATTATGTATTTATGAAAGAGAAGTAGGCCAGGGAGCTGCCAGAGGAGGCTCCAGCTCTCGGGGTGAGCAACACCCACGGCCCCGCTGCTGACTGAGCTGTGATTGCTTCGGGTCACCTCTGTGCATCCCTGATGCCCAAGTTCACTGCAGAGTTTTCAGGAGTGTTGAAGGCTCATATTTTCCTTAGGGGCAGTGGGAAAGCTAGCTAAGGGAGCTGGCTGGTGGTTTCTGCGGGCAGGGTTGGCTGCTGGGCAGGAACGCTGGCTCACGGGGGCAAATGAAGCCATAGCATGGGCTGGTTCAGGTGCAGATCTGCACGGCTCAGCTCCAGCAAGGCTTTTTGAGACATTGGTTTTAGGAAAGTCATTTAGCGGGGCCCCATGCTGGGCCAGTTCAAGCTTTCTGGATCCTCCAGCCCCTGCATCTGCACAGCCTCCAGCTGCAGAGTCTTTAACAACGCTCGGAGCACTTGTGTCCCGCCGCTCTCGCTGTGCCAGAAGAGTAAATGCATCATGATTTCTGCAGAGACCGTCAGCAGCGTGCAGAAGAGGAGCAGAGGCTGAACCAAATTGGCTGGTTTGGGCAATTCAGAGCCTGCAGGAGTAGCCGGGGAAGCCTGCGTTTCATCTCTGCTGCTTCCCCGAACGGAAATGGAAATAACAGGAGGGGGAGGAAGGGGAGGTGAAAAGAAAGCGAGAGACAGAAGGAGAGGGTGAGAGAGCTGGTACAACACGAACAGCGTTGTCAGAGCAAGCTGAAGCTTTTAGAGCAAAACAATGCTTGGCAGCAGTGCAGAAGTAGAAATGGCCGTAGATTTACTGTTCCATTGCAAAGTAAATGATTCAAATTTTTTTTTTTTTCCTTTCCTACTCTAAGGGCAAGGACTGAGCTCTGTGGCTGGCAGGGAGGCTGTGGTGCTGCAGGTAGCAGCAGGTGCTGGGGACCCCGCAGGCAGCACCGTCCCACACTGCTTCAGGATGGGCTCTGGGGCAAACACTGCAGGAAGTGCATTGCACAAAACCGAGGCACCTGGGGCTGAAACCAGTACCTGCAACTGGGAGAAACTGAGGAACTGGTTTTCTCTTCCCCAGCAGCACTGGGTTATGCATGCATGCATGGGGCTGGAGGAGCACGGTGTGTTTGCACACATCATGTACCCACCCACAGCCCTCTGCACAGCTGGGGAGGAGGAAATCCTGCTGAAGCCCACCAGGCATTGAGGGGAATTGCCCAGACCCCAGCAGACAGGACCTGTTCCCATCCCACAGAGGCACACCAGGCTGCTACACGTGAGCGCTTGCGATGCTGGTGGAAGAGGTCGCTCATGCAATGGGCTGTGCTGGGTCAAGTCCTGAGAGCATTTATTCAGGGTGGAAGAGCCTGAGCAGTGCTAAGTGCTACTCCTTTTCCATCTCCTCCAAAAGCTATCAAAGTCCTCCAGGTAAAGCAGGGAAGTCAGGACATGGCAGCTCTAATGTAAAAGTGCAGCAGGAGGAGAGAGCTGCTTGAAAAAGCGAACTTTGCAAGGTCGTCTCTGGGCAACACGTAGGAGCAGCAGAGGTCTTGAGCACTTTTCTTCAGTTCAGCTTGAAAAGGCTGCTTCTTGCCCTTCCTTTATGGGGAAGAAAGCATATGATGACAGGTCCCTGGAGCTTTTATTTTGAAGCTGAATGCTTAGAGTTGAGTGCATGAAGACAGCAAAAGCATTTTCCTTCAGGCAATACAAATCAAATAAATGGAGACACAGCACTGCAATTCTGTGCAACACAGAATGCACTTGTGTCTCAGCATCCTAAATGCGTCAGTCATGGGAGGCGCTTGGGGCGGGTGCTGTCAGAGCCCTTCTGCCCCAAATGTTTCCTGCGTGCTTGGGCTGGGGTTTCTGTTGTGGTGTAACTTCATGCTGTGGTTCCTACAGTGGGGATTTTGTGCCTCCTTAAAGAGGAGGGAGGGAAGCTGGTAGTGGTGGTTAGTTATACTGTACAGAGCAAACTGCAGAGAGGGTGAATTGACTCACTGCTCTATCTGTAAAGCTGAGAGGTGTTCCTGTGTGCCTTTTATTGCCTTTGTGGGAGGGGGATGTCACCGGGGCACCTTCCCACCCTAGTGCCATCACACCCTAAGCCCGGGAGTTGTGCTGTCCTGGTGGGCTGGCTTGCAGGCTGCCCCCAACACTGAGTGAGTGGGGGACTGGGAGCCCAGAAAGTGGCTTTTTGGACCATCAGTGCCAATAACTTGAGCTTGCCATGCTAATGTCTGCTGAATGAGTGATCCTGAGTGCAGACTGAATTGTGAGCAACACTAAAGGCAAAAAAAAAAAAAGAGCCAGTGGATTTTTGCAACAGCTACAGAGCTCTTATCCTCTCATTAATGGGGTTTTACAGCTGTTATGTAAGTGAGCTATCTCCCTGGAAATAAAATGTTTTCCTTACAAACAGCACTCGAAGTGTTGCGGGCTATTTAACAGGGGAGGCTTGTTTCTAATTAAAGCTGTAGTTCCCTTTGCTGGTGTGGTTTGTGCCTGGACCACCTGCTGCAGACTGGGGTGGGCCAGTGGGTGCCATGGTCCTGGGTGCAGGGACAGGAGCTCAGCCCCGTCTGACCCTGGTGCTGTGAGCAGAGAGGTGCGTGGTGCTGGCTTGCCCTGCTGCCTTCCCCAGCCCTCCGGCCAGGAGCTGGCGCTTTGTTTACCCACATCACAAACAGTGCAGGGAAGAGGCTTTTATTTAAAGCCACTGGAAATGAGAGGGTGATGAAGCAAGGCTCAGTGGTGTTGGCATAATACCAAAAGAAAAAAAAGACCTTAATCTCACCATGATGAGCCTGCTACATCTCCCCATCTGATTTACAGGGCCAGTGCAGGCTGTGAAACAACCAGCAGTGCTTCTCATCCCCTTGACCAGCTCCTGCCACAGCACCTGGAGCTCCTACCAGTGCTGTGAATCAGCTCCTGGCCCAGCTGGTTTTGCTGGAAGCACCTGACCCCTGCCCAGCCCCATGCAGGGCAAGGATGTGACTGTCCCACTGGTGGCTGTGACAGTGCCACTGTGCCTGGTGCTGACTCCAGGTGCAAAGCAAGGAGCAGCGTGGTCCAAGATGGTGCTGAACTCCCTGTGCAGCCTCTGGCCAGGTCCTACGAGCCCACCTTAGTGCCTTGGGAGTGGGTGCCATGGGTTTTTTGAGCCACTCACTTCCATAATGCGTCTCCCTCGAGCTGGGTTGGACCAAGGCCAGGCAAGCTCTTATCTTCCTCACCACTGAAAGCTGTGCAGGCTCATGCCTGCTGCTGTCTGAGGGACTGCTCTCTGTTTCAAAAGAAATCAAGCCAGCTTTGTTTCCAAGTCTTTATTAATCATGTTTTCCAACTCTTTGAGCAGAGATCTCTGCTTGGCCATTTGGGCTGGAGCATGCAGGGACCCTGGCTGGGCTGAGCCTGGGTGCAGCCTGGCTCTTTGGGCTCCCGGTCCCTCTGCAGAGGTCCCTGTGGGGCTGAAGATATCCCATGTATGTGAGCTTGCCAAGCTGTTGCAGAGGGCCTGAGGTCTCTCCAACAGGATAGGAATCCCCATGCCCTGTCCCATAGCAGGATACCTTGATATACCTTGATCCTTCTGGTCTTGTTGAGATGCAGCTTGGCTACCTGTTCAGCCCTGTGCTGGAGAGGCCAGGTGTCACAGAGAAGGGTCCTGCCCTGGTGGTGAAGAGTTAAACGATGGTTGACATCCCGTCGTGCTGTCATTTGTCAGCCCAGACACATGGAGCCAGTGGAGAAAAACAGGCAGGGTAATTTCCTGATTTAAATGAATTTCAGAGACCACCACAGGAAGGAACCTGGGATGTGTCCAAAGGATAACCAGGCCATGGAAAAACACCAGGCAGGGGAAGGGGATGGGGGAACTGGGACTTGAATTCTCCTGTGTCATTGCAGAGGTAGTGCCACCATGGCATTTTCCAGTTACATGTCCAGTTTAAGGAATTTAGGACACTCGCAATGTCAGACTGTTGAATTGCTATTTCTAAGGGGATAAGTGAGCCCTCCCCAGCTGGCATTTCATTTTATTTACTGAATTGCTTATTGTACCTGTATCCTGAGTATAAATCAGTAGAGCTCTTTGCTGCTGCCTTTCATGTCCTTAAATGAGATGCTGTATTTAGGCCAGGCCTCGTTCAAATGCTCTGTGTTCCCACAGCAGCCCCAGCGACCAGTCTGCCCAGTTTGTCCTCCTGATCTCAGCAAAGCCCGGGGGCATCTCCCAGCTTCCCAGCAGGGCTCTGCTCGGTGCTGAGCCTGGCAGGAGCACGCATCCCGGGGAGGCAGCGCCCTGTGCAGGAGATGGTCCGTGCTAACAGCAATTCCCAGTGCCTCTGCAGCGCTGCAGGGAGGTGTCAGGAAGGGGCTGTGTATGGGGATTTCTCAGGGAGCTCTGAGAAAGCCTCATGCTCTGCAGCCAGGGCAGGGCCTTGCAGCGAATGCTGGGCTATGCTGTGGGTCAGGCAGGTCTCCCTGGGAGCCAGCTCTGCTTTCCGTAGGGCTGTTGTTTAGGATGCAGCAAACTGGGGTAGTTCCTCCTGAAAATGTGTCTCTTGGAGGCTAGAAAGACAAGGTATCACCTCTGGCTCAGAAAGTCCCAGCACCACGAATCCTCCATGGCTGTTAGCATGTGCTGGGACATAATGTTAAAACAACCTTCTGCTTGCTCCTTTCTTTGGGGCCACAGCTGGGGCTGAGATGCTGGGTGAGATGGCATCCTGAGCAAGATGCCAGCAAAGCAGCTGCTCCCATCTGCGTATTCATTTCCTTAAGTCATTTGCTCTTTCTCCCAGCAGATTCCCAGGGTCCCAAGCCAAGGAGGCTCCCCAGGGTGCTGAGAGCCTCACAAAGAGGTAAGGACACGGTGCCTCACCTATCAGCAGGTGTCCTGTCACCCTTGTTAGTGGAGGCCAAGTGGTGACCCTGCCACAAATTTGGTGACAGAGCAGGGTGAGAGAGAAATGGCAGCTAGGGGGTGAAGATATTCCTCCAAAATGGGAGTGGGTCTGAACCTAGAAAGGGGAAATGAAGCCAAACCAGGGCATGGAGACGAGAGGGCTGGGGTTAGGAATGTGCTACCCTGTTCCCTGGGGCTTCAGGGATATTAGTTAAAAAGAAGTGTCAGAGCATTGAGCAGAGAAATGTGAAGGCATGTCCCATTTGGTTTCACCCCAGGGACCAGGACTTGCCCAACAGCAAAGCTCTCAGTCATTAAATTCAGTTGAACAGGAAGGCTTTTTGCAAGAGCTCAGCACCAGCACAGACTGGATTGCAGAGGATGTATCTGCAGAGAACACAGGCTGAAGGAAAAGTGCTAATTGACCAGTACTGAGTGGATTTATCATCCTGTTCGAGATGCAGCAGTTAATAGAATAAAAGCCTTGTAGACAGTATGGAGCTTATTATTTCAAGCTATCATCAACCTTAATTTAAAATTCTCATTCCAAGAATGCCTGAGTGAACACTTGTGCTACATTAAAAGCTGAGTAAGCCTGGCTTTTTTATAAATTCTCTCGCTGTTTCCCTGTCTCTCATGATGTAATTGTATGGTGATTACTTAAATAGCTTCATAATCAATTGCTTTTTTAGGGCTTGAAATTCGTACGAAGCTTAGCACCGTGGTAAAGGATTCCATTTGCTGGCCAGGGCTTGGGTTTTGTTTAAAGAAGTGGTGAAGCGGATGTGGGGATCCTTCAGCACGAAGGCACGGCAGCTGTGGGGAGCTGTGTGCCTCATGCCTGCTGTGCCAAGGGCCTGGGGCCTTCGGGGTGTGACCGTGGAGCTGTGCTTTTTGGGACAAGGCCTGCAGCTGTGCCCATCTGTGGGGTCCTACTGAGGTGGTACAGAGGCAGGCGAGCACCCCTGGGCTCCCGGCCCTGTTGTAGGACTCTCAGAGCGGCCTCTGGCAGTGTGAGGGCCTGGCCGGGCCTGCGGGCGTTCCTGCTGCGCGTGGTGCGAGCCCGCACTTGTGAAGCGTGGAAACGGGCGTCTGCAGGCGCTCACACACCGTCCGTATGCATGAGTTCGCTTTTCATGTTAGCGTCACGCTGCAGTCTCTGTGCTTCTGCCCAAGTCCTGCTTTCATATGGAGGATTCCACCTTTCATGTGGAAATCCTCCTGCCCCTCCAAGTGTGTGTTTGCCCCTGGCAGGGTTCCTGGGTCTGGAGTGTTTCTCAGAGGTCTGGGCCTTTAGCTGGAGGAAGCCAGCATCCTCTGCTGACCTGGGGAGCCTGAAGTGGCTGCCTGAACACTGGGAACTCTGTGCTGATCCACATCAAAGTGCTTGGCTGCCTTTCCCCCTCAGCTTATGGCTTTACACAGAGATAAAACCCGTGAGAGACCCGAGAGCAGATTCCCATGGCTGTTGCAGGGCTAACAGCAGTGATCCATCGCCTGCTGGGGGCTGCTCCCTGCCATCCCTGCCACTGCTGGGACTCCTCCTGTGCCTGTTCAAGAGGGGGAGCAGAGGCCAGGAGTGGAAAAGGTGTGGGACTGGCAGCACCACCACACACAGCATGGGATATGGGAGCCCTTGTGCTCAGCTAGAAGGGTGCCAAAACGGAATTGTGTGGGTGCATAGTTGCTTGGTTGGATGGGATCTTCCTTCTGCTGAAGTAAAACATTAATTTGCTTTGTTGCCTTTGCAACACCTGTGTGCTTCAGGTGGTGTATATCCCAGCGAAGTTAAATAGCAAGCTCAAGTGCCTGCAAGGCTGCTGCTGTAGGAATAAATATTTGTAGTAGTAACAGGGAATCTGAGAGCCAGCCCTGCTCCAAGGTGGGCAGCGAGATCTGGGAAGGGACAGGTTGGTTGTGCCCTTCAGGGTTCGTTTGGAAAGGCTGTGCCAGTGGCACTGGCTGGGCTAAAGGAGCCTGCGGAGGGCGAGTATCCTGTGCCCAGGGTCCTCCTCCGTTACAGCCACCCCAAGGGCAAATACATGGCATGAACCAGAGAGCTCGGTTTGTTCCCACACTGCAAACGATCACGTTGGAGCACAAGAACTGGCTCTTCTCATGGCTCCTCAGAGACGAGAAGGGCAGATACCTGCAATAACTTGCAATGTTGAGCTTAAGGGCAGCTTCAGTGCCTTGAAAGTGAATGAAGTAATTTGCGGTACCCAGTGCCTGCAAATACAGTTCTGTGCAACCAGAAGGGAAGAGTCATTAATGACACTGAGAAACCACTTGAGGAAAATCTGTGTGGATTGATCTGCTGTTGTAAACAAGATCTATTCTGCTGTCCCTTAGCAAGAGGACATATTTGTGACAGACTCCCACTTAGTGTGTATTAAAGATCCCACTGAAACCTCAAGATTTATTTATGACAACACTCCTGGGGCACCAACTGAGCTCTGTGCAATTTCATTCAGGCTTTTTCAGTGGGTAGAGCTCGAATTAAGTGTGCAACTGCCCACAGAAAGCCATTAGTTTTATTGCTCTCCTGATGAAACGGCGCAGAAGCCCTGGCAGAGGTGCAGAGGGCTGCATATCAAATCCACCAGCGTCTAGACAGAAAATAAATATGGTGCTGGGGGAGACGTGGCGGGGCGAGCCTCCACAGTGTGGTTGTGGTCGGGGGGTGGCTGAAACCTTGGAGGCCCAGAGGAGGCTGCATCGTGGGGACTTCCCTCCGGCCTGGCTGTGGCACCATGGGGGCTTAGAGCAATTTAAACATTTACCTGCCTAAGCTTTTAAGTCCTCTTTGATGGTCTCAAGCAGTCATCTGCTGAGGAGCTTAGGGTGTTATAAGTAACCTTATGTCCATCGGGGAGGCTTGAGGTGTGGTGTCCTGGAGTGTTTAAAGGGATTTGTGCTGGGCAGCACCACAGGAGGGAAGGCTGGTGCAAGTCTTCCCCAGCGGGACACCCCTGGCACAGCACTACTGCACCTTGTGATGGCCGGAGTGCCTGTGGGGTGTGTGGAGGAGCCCAGGAAGAGACAGAGACCACCAGGAGTGAGGATGCTCCTGGAGGTGTGGGTGCAGCAGTGCCTATAGCCACCCTGGCTGTGGCAGGGATGCAGGCCAGCCCTGTCTGGCCCTGTGCTGCCCGTGGCTGTGGCAGTGACCATATTAGTGCTGGGGCCCCAGTGCCAGGCAGTGGTTAAGCAGCTGCTGGGAAGCAGCCAGAGCCAGGGCTGAGCTCTCTGACCAGCCAGGCTTGTATGCAGCGAGGTCTGTGTGCATCGATCGCCTGTGCTGGAAGCAAGCAGGTCTTCGCAGTGAGTTTCACAGAAAGCAGCCTGCTTCGCAGTAAGCAGTTAACCAAGCAGCCCAGACAGCAGCACCCCTGGCTCAGCTGCAGAGCCAGGAAGGCTTGCAGGGGGGCTTCACGGCTCGCTGGCAGTAATGAGCACAGCTGAGAAGTTCACAGCCTGCTCCTGAGGCTGATGATGGCTGGGAAAGGCACAGCTCCTCCCCAGGGTGTGCTGCTGCCCAGTGACTCTGTGCTTCACTGCAAGGGGGGTGTTTTGCCCACCAGTACTCCTGCGGCCCTGGCCACTGGATGGGGACATCTGCTCCGAGTGCAGACAGCACCTTTCTTGGGGGGCTTTTAGCTCTCAAATTTGCTTTCATTAATAGGCTTGGCAAAATGCCGTGGTCCTTGTGAGGGTTTTCTGGGGCTCACAAAAGCACAGTAGCATTGCAATGCAGCAGGATGGGGAGAAGCAGGATCATGACCTCTTCTTTCTGCAGTCCTCCCTGCTCCCCTGTGATGGTGTGGATGCAGCCAGGAGGTGAGCATGTCCCCAGCACCACTCTCTGATCTCGCTGGGGACCTCCAATCCAGTGCAGTGAGCTCCCCACTCCACTGCTGCCTGATTGCCTTCGCTGCCGCATGTCTGCCAGACCACGCTGAGGCTGCCTTGGCTCTAATAGCACCTCTCTGCCCTCCGGCACTAATTAAACACCCTGGGAAGAAGCCCTCCCTGTAATTAGAGGCAGCCACCTGCACTGGATTCCCTTGCCTCCCTGCAGGAGAGAGAGCCATGGCTGGAGTCAGCTCTGGAGCAGCAGCAGCAGCACATCCCTGGCTGTGGTGCAGAGAGCTGGCTCCGAAATCCCACTTGGGATGGCAAAGGCGCCAGTGTATTAATGGGCTTGGCTCCATCTTTAGCCCCTGGGCTACGTGTTATTAGCATTTCTTTTTAAGAGTAGGGCTGCATTTTAAAGGAAATCTAATTTTACATCGTCTGAGCATCTTGGACAGAAGTAGAAAGGCCCCGGACGGCGGCGGTGCACCAGCTGCTGGCAGGGCTATTTTGGTTAGCAGGGAGGCAGAGCTGGAGGCTGGGGCTGAGCAGCTATTTTGGTGCAGAGGGGCCGGGGCTGCGTGGTGGGGATGGAGGCAGTGGTCCTGGTTTCTGCAGCCGCAGGGAGCAGGGGGCATATATTCTGCTGGAGAGGATCTGTTCACTGCTCATCCCTGTGCATCACACCCTGCCCGTGCCTTTGGTCAAGCTTGTGTCCTGTCCTGGCCATTTACTTTTTGTTGGTGGGGACACCAGCCCTCCCCAAACCTGTCCCATGGGGATGGGAGCCCTGTCTGATGGAGGGGAGCCACCCTGGCTGGTTGGTAATTAATTGTAATAATAGGAGCAGTGGACCAGAGAGCTAAAGAGCCCTTTTAAGACTCCTGGCCACTTCTGGTGCTGCTTGGGTGCACATCTCCCTGCTGCCACGTGCCGGCCTGCACGCACCTTCGTGCCCGGGTGTCTGGGACCCTGGAGGCAGCCTGCAAGGGCTGGAGGCATGGAGCAGAGCAAGGAACAGAGGTGAAAGTGTCGTGTGCCTGCCCGAGGGAGGTGGCCGTGATACCAGAGGGGTGACCCTCGCCTCAGGAGTGAGCAGAGCAGGGGAGGAGTGCCATCAAGCATGCTGGGGGCCTGTGCTACCATGGGGGACATGGCGACAGCTGTCTGTGGGTCAAGGTCCCTTTTCTTGCCCCAGTGAGGCTGGGCCTAGTGCTGTGGTGCTGGGAGGCCAGTGTTTCACCCAGCTACTGCTGCTTTGCATGCGATGCCCAGCACGAGACCCGAGTGCCTGGTGCACGGCCCCTTGCCTGGCCAGCAGCTGCAGGTGGGGAGCTGCTCTTGCCGGCCCAGATTTCCTGGCTGCTTGGCAGGATCAGAAGACTCCTGGCAAAGTCACAGAGGAGAAATCCCATCAGTGTGCTGGAAGTCAAAAACATTAATTAAACCCGCGGTATCACTGATAGTTATCTCAGGGGAGGGGCAGCGGGTGAGAAAAGGCTCTGGGGAAGGAAACCTGGTGGAAGAGCTGTTGGGAGGAGGATTTGCTTCCTCACCCTTAAAACCTGGGCTGGTTATTTCCCTGTCCCTGCTCACTGAAACACATCCAAACCCTGTGCTGTGCCCCGTGAGCACAATCGGTGCTGGAGCAGCAGAACCAGGTGCTCGTGTGGCACGAAGTGGCAGGGGCAGGCGGTGTGAGCGCTCCTCCCCACTCACAGTGACTGGGCTTCCTCCATCTGCATTGCAATGAAGTGAAGTTTTGCTGCCTAAATGTCCCTGGAAGTTGATACATAAGGGATTTATCAACATTAAAGGTATTTGCATACCCCTCATGAGGAAGGAAATTACTGCGCAGGGATTAAGTAGGGACAGACTTTGAGTGCTGGTGAGGGCTATGAAGGTTTCCAGTGAGGTGCTGGCCATTTATCAGAGCTGTCGTTGTGCCCAGAGCTGCCAGGGAGCAGCAAGATGGGGTTTGCTGCCAGGATTAATGTATTAAATACTCACCCGAGCTGTCCCTTTTAGTACTGGCTTCATCCTGGATCCACACTCCTCTGGACAGCTCTGCTCTTGTCCGTGTCCTGCTGTGGGATGAAGCAGTGAAAATCATGGTGTGTTCCATATGGGTCTGCGCCAAGCCACATCTGCTGCCCTGCATCTCTCCCAGACCTCACCAGGGACCAGCTGCCATGGTGGGGGATGGACCTGTGTCTGGTTCAGGACCCACCACCCAGTTTTTGCCAAAATGCTCGCCAGCACCATGGTGTTGCAAAGAGGAACAGAGTGCCTGGGTGCCCCACGTCCCTGTGGCAGCCCTGCCACCCATGAGGCGAGCCAGCCCAACACACCCAGATAAGCAGGGTGAGGATGTGGGGGCTGCACCCAACAGGGAACAAACCCCAGGCTTGGGCACCCCTCAGCACCCAGCTGGGGGAGAAGACGTGTTTCTGGGGGGACAGGGATGGTGCTTCTCCCCCCTGCCCTGCACAGCACTGCCCAACGTGGCTGGGAGCTGGGGGGCACCGAGAGGCTGTGCCCACCCCGGTGCAGGGCTGCAGGAGGATGTCCTGCCTCGTCCCACAGCACCCCTACATGACCCCGTGTGCCTGGGACACCGCTGCTGGGGTCCCGGCCGCTGGTGACAGCCAGTTACCCAGGGCAGAAATTCCTCATGGGCACGCTGTGGATCGAGCAATTTTCTGCACAATTACTCCAGTTTATTCAGGGTGATAAACCAGTATTAGAGGAGGAGGAGATAGGGCATGGGAAAGATGTATCTTCTTTCTGAACTTATTTCCTGACATGTAACAGAGCCTGGACGGTTTCTAATGGGGCTGGCAGAAGAGGGGGACCGGCAACACAGGGAACAGATCAGACCAGGAGTGAAATTCCTGCGCTTGTTGCACAGGAGATACACGTTGTCATTTCAGACTTGTCATGTTTAGCACGTTTCTCTCTCCCTGTGTGCTTCATAAAGTAGCGGGTGGGGGAAAAAACCCCTTGCAAAGGAAAAGGTGGTGGTGCAGGACTGTCCCTGCTGAGGAGGAGGGCAGGGGCGATGAGCCCCTGCTGGGGGTGGCTGTACATGTATCTCACGCTCTGTATCTCATGCTCTTCCTAGGGGAGAAGCCACCTGCCTGATTAAACAGCAGCAGCAAGCTTTGCATCGCCAGCCACGCCTGAGCACGACGTGAACTTCAGTGACACTTAGAAGAGGAAACGTGCTGCCTTCTGGGTCTCTCCGCTAATATTTGGAAGCCTGACAGCTGTGTCCCGAGCCCAGGCGGTACAAGGTATAATTAGAGAAGCTGCTTGAATGCTGTTGTTATAGAAGTGATGTTAAAATAATGGTGTGGAAGGGAAAGCTGGGGCTGTGTGTTTCTGGGGTGTGCGTGCTGCACTGGGCACTGTGCCCAGTGTGCTGCAACGATACATTTGAGGCAGCCTCTGCTGGGGAAAATTAGCATCTTTGTGCTGTATACAAGGTACACACTGTTCTTTGGATGCAAGTTTGGAGTCGCATTTAAAACCATCCAATGGAACATTTTCCAATTTTTATTTATCAACAAGTCTGTGCGTATTCCTGGAGAATGAAATATTTATCTGTAGACACACACTTGCAGAATGTGAGAGTGCTGATGTATTATTTATTGACGCTTCCCTCCCGTAGCTTATAAATAACTCATGAAGCCTGGTTTCAAGTCCAGCCCGTGTCTGGCTACCTACAGCAGCTCTCACTGCCACCACACACCAGGTCTGGATATCTGCCCCACGCAGAGCATCCTCAGCACCCTGCTGAGCAGAGGGGTGGCACTGCAGGGTGGCACTGGCCTTGCTGTGGGACACCTGAGCACAACCCCCTGCATGCAGCTCTTTTGGCAGTTCCCTGCCTGTAGGAGAAGGGGCCGAGGAGCCGAAGGGGAAGCGTTGGGTCCTGGGTGCACGGAGCGTGGGGGCTTTGCTGCGCTGTAATCTAAATGCAGATGTCAGACAGCGAGAGCTGCTGTGTAAATAACATCCCCCGTGATATGAGATACGTCACTTGTAATGAAGCTATGAAAGCTGCAACTGAGCAAGACGTGCTGTCTGGGAAGGGAGGCATCAGATAAAGTGGCAACTCAATTAACAGCAGCAGGCTGGGGCGGGCGAGCCGCGCCGCAGGGCTGGAGTGCATTGCAAAAGCCAGGCTGCTCGTGGGTAGCTGGCACCCTGCACCCTCCTGGCCTCCGGGAGGCCCCAGGGGTGGAGAAGAGGGGAGGAGGAAAGACCCTGAGCCTGCCTGGGGCTCGGTGGGTGTAGGCTGGGCACTCATGGGGCCAGGGCTTTGTGCTGGTTGGGGGCCCCTGCTTTTGGAAGACACTTTGGGGAAACACCAGCTGGGTGTCAGACACAGCTTATAGCATGGCACGTTTGACTCTTCCAGTCATATAAATATATAGTTATGTATACTGTGTATGTAGCCCTTCTGTTGGGCTGGAATCGCACTTTTTCCAGTGTTCAGGGTGGCCTCAGATAAAACAGTCACCAGGGAGGCACTGCAGACAGACCGGCGCTGAGTGAGCCTCTGCTGGCTGCGGCAGGGCTGATGGTTACAGAGCTTGGGCTGCTCCTGCTGAGGCGCAGGCGTCAGTTCGGTGGCTGGTGCTGCCAGGTGGAGGAACACGGGGGAAGCTCCCCCTAGGCAAGGACGGGCATGGGTGGGAGCTTGTGCATAGGGACCACAGCAGCAGTAATGCAGTGCATGGCCCTGGCTCTATGGGGTGGTGTGAGTCAGAGCAGGGAAGGGATTACTCAAGGCCTAAAAGACATAGAAAGCACAGCATTAATATCTAAGAATTACATTAAATGGCTTGATAAGTGAGTTATCCTCCCCACGTTACCTGCTGACAGCAGCAGCATCCGTGCCTCCCCTGCAGAGAGATGCTGACTGGAGCACCTTGCTCCATCCAGAAACACTCCTGAGTGGTGTCTGAACAGGCCAGGACTCTGTTCATGGACAAATTGCCTGGGAAGTGAGGTGCAGCCCTGTGTAGCACCTCGCTGATGCTGGGCCGGGGCAGTTTTGGGGAGGGCCCCACACGGATGTGCAGCACAGCATGTCTCAGCTGGAGGTGTGCTCCTCGGTTTGGCGCAGCACGCACCAGCGGTTCTTTGGGGGCTCGCTGGCTCGTGATGGCTTCACTTGGAAGCCAGGCTTCCTTGTGTGCTTTTAGCAAAGTTCACACCGTTCAGGTTTCTGGGCCAGGCACAGTCTTTGATTCTGCATCGCACTCAGCAGCTCTGCGAGGATGTAGCCTGTGGTTAAGTAAGGCGAAAGACTGAAAGTGGTTCAATTTTGCAACAACAGCTGAGAACAAAGTACAGATTTTGCCATTTAAAACTGGGACAAAACTGGGCTGGAAGGTTTTTTGTGGGTTATTTTTTTCCCCATTTTTCTTTTTAACACCTAATTGCCTTTTCTGAGCTGAATAAAACACAGTGTCCCTGACTGCTGACCCATGCCAGAACATTCCTATTCACATCCAAGTGGCAAATCCAGGACAGGGCAGCAGCAGCCTGTGCCCACCAGGAACCCCCTGATGTGCCCAGGCAGCACATGGCCGGGTGTTCATTTTCAAGGGGGCACTCATCTTCCTCTGAGCACTGCTAGGGTTTTCTTATCTTTCTCTACATCTCAGGTCTGTGTCTGGGGTAGACAGTGGTCGCACCAAGGCAAGCAGTAAATCCTAATTGAGCACGGGCTGTCACACGGGCCAGGGACTTGTGCTCTCTTTTACTCCAGGATGACATACAGAGCATCCATACACCATGTGAAGAGTAGCTATGGGTTAAACAGCTCCAGTCCTAGAATCATTCAGGTTGGAACAGACCCCTAAGATCACCTAGTTCAGCCTTTAACCTAGTACTAAAGCCCATCACCACTATACCATGCTACTAAGTTCTATATCTATGGGTTTCTTAAAGAAACCCATAGGGATGGTGACTCAGCCACTTCCCTGGGCAGCGTATTGCAATGCCACACAACCCTTCCAGTAAATACATTTCTCCTGATTGAGGCCATTTCTCCTTGTTTCATCACTTGGTGCTTGGGAGAAGAGCCTGATCCCCAACTCGCTATAGCCTCCTTTAAGGCAATTGCATAGGATGTTAAAGTCTCCCCTGAGCCTCCTTTTCTCTAGGCTGAACAACCTTGATTCCCTCAGCTGCTCCTTGTAAGACCTGTTTCCTAGACCCCTCACCAATTCATCATCACTGCAACTGTTCTTGTGGCAGCTCAGAGAACTGAGCTCTCCAGTGCTCTCCTTGCTTCGTGCATCTCTTGCCTCACCCCTGGGCCCAGAGGCCATCGCCACAGAGGTGCTGGCTCCTCCCTGGTTGCTGTACCCCATCCAGGCCCCAGGCTGCATCCTCCACAGGGCTTCAGGTGGCTTTTATGAGTCAAAGGCTGTGAAGGAGGCTGTGAAATGAGGATGGGTCACCAGTGTCCCCACTGTCCTCCTGGCAACCTGTAGGTGCTGCCCTGGGTACGTGTTGTGTGACAACAGCCTCCATTTATGCCCTTAGCCTAGCAAAACCCACTATATAATCAGACCTCAAAGCCATCAGCACGTTGCCCCAGTAGGGAAATCATCGCTTGCTGTTCCTTTGTGCAGCCCTGTCCTGCTTGCTTGTGTCCCATTGGTAAGGTGAGTGTGACCACCACCATCCCTGCCTCCACGGCTGCCCCCTTTGTGGGCAGCCCACGGTCCATATAGCAGGCTGAATTTTATATCTCCCCGAAGCCTTTGCTTGCAAACACGCAGGGCAGAAGACACTGCAAGCCTCGTTGTGCAATTTTCAGTTGCAAGATGAAGAAAACAAGTTCTTCTTTTTACCAATTGCCACACTGTTCTGCTAAGCCATTGCCCTGCTTCTGCGCTTCGGTTTCAGTTAGCAGCATTCCTCGGGCAGGGAGAGCACGGCCTCGCTGCTGGTCACGGTGTTAGAGGCGGTGGTGAGGGGTTGCCTCAGTGCCCTAACGGCTGGAAGCAGCTGTGCCTGTCTCCCCTGATGCTGTTCCCTCTGGCTCTTGTGCTCTAGGGGCTGTGGGGTCCCTGTGGGGTCCGTGGGGTGTCCCACAGCCGGCAGCGGGCTCTGCTCAGACCCCTCCGTGCTTCCTTCGTTTGTTTTTGCTGGAGCTGTCTGGGGGAAGCAGCGCCTTGTTGTGTCTTCGGCTCAGCGGCTATTGACAGCAGGAGAATGCCATTGTGGGGGAGGACAATGAAAAGCGAAATGCCTAAAATTCCTTGTCTGCCATGGGGTGCCCGCAGTGTGGAGGTGAGCACAGGCTGGTGGCTGCCCTAGCGCTGCTGCAGGGGCAGCTCCTGGGTTGCTCGGGGAACCTAAATGAGCAGCAGGGTGATCTTAACTTGGTTTGAAGCAGGTATCAGAGGACTTTTTTTCCACTGTCCCCCCCAGTTGCTGATGCTGGAGCCGAGGTTTTGGGCAGAGCAGGAGGAAACCCAGTGCCAGAGCGAGGGGCAGGGGAGCAGCGTGTCCCTGCGTAGCTGGCAGGGGAGGCGGGTGGCTACGTTCGCATCTTGCTCTATTGTTTCAGAATTATCATCAGGGAGATTGAAGATGTAATTATGATAATTAAGCGAAATCGCAATCTTCATACAGGAGTTAGTGAATTATTTCTATCAACTTACCATCCTAATTCCCTTAACCCTTTGCTGCCCAGAGGAGGAGGCCTGGGCTGCCCACGCTGCGTGCAGGCAGCTCTCACCTTCCTCAGCAGTGCTGGCTGAAGCAGCAGAAGTGGCAGCTCTTCCTCGGCACGAAACTGGGGTGTGAGATACAGCACGTGAGGTGCTGCCAGGCACAGGGAGCCAGAGAAAGCAGGGAAAGCAGAGAAAGCTGGATGAATGTGCATCCTGCCTGCAGGGCTGGGGGAGGCAGAGGCTGTGCCAGGGCAGGATTTGGGCAGCAGGAGGGCTTGCGGATCCCTCCTGGCCCCTGCAGCCTGGAGGGAGCCGGAGCTAAGCTGCTATGGGGCCTGAAAAGGGGCTGGGACTGTGGCCTGCTCTGCTCCCCCCATAGCCAGTGCTCCAGGCGAGCACGGTGCCTCCTGTCCCCTGGGGCTGAGGTGTCCCTGCCACCATGACGTTGGGAGACAGGGTGAGCCCAGAGCTCAGCGCTGTGGGACTCGAGCCCTGCTCTGAGCACAGCACAGATGATTGCTGTCCCCCGGCAGCAGCAGCTTTGGCACCATGGCTCCCCAGGAGCGCTGTCAGCTGCAATTAATGTCACCGTGGAGCTTGCTCACAGATCCCAGCAGACTGCCTGCAACTCCATGGTGCCAGGGGAAGAGCCACGACTCCCGTCCTCGTGTCCCCTGGGGCAGCAGGCAGCCTGCACCGGAGCGGGGACGTGACGCAGAGCGTGTCACCCCTCTGTGTGGGGAGGTGGCAGGGCTGGCAGCAGGGCACAGGCCACAGAGAGCCCCATTTTGGAGCATGGAGCACGGGAGGAGCTGCACAAACCCCATTGCTGGGGGCAGCTCCCCAGGGTAGAGCTGGCACCCGTCACGCAGAGGTGAGGACACGTTGGGGTATGGGGACAGGACCAGGGGCACAGCACAATGTGCCAGCACAGGGACAGGGCTGTGGGATGGAGCTGAAGGGCTGAGCACCCAGAGCATCTCCCAGGTCAGGAAAAGCATTTTGCAGCCTTTCTCCTGCCCTCAGCAGCAGCACCGAGCGCCGGCCGGCTCGTGACCAGGGCCAGATCCTGGCGGGTGCTGAGCAGCTGCAGCCCAGAGCCTCACAGCCCCTTGCAGGGGCTCAGCAGCAGGCTGAGGGCAGGATGGGCCCCGTGCCCTTCCTTATGTAACTGTCTTCCTGGTGTTTTTGCAGCACACAGAGCTCCCACCGGCGAGGGGGATGTCATGTTTTTCCGAGCACATAACTCAGATCTCCCGCCGGCTTGCAGCAACACCCAGCCCGCCCCCCGCCGCTCGCCCACCTCGCGGGGCACGAACCAAGCTGCGGCCCCTTCCCGTCCCCCTGCGAGCCCGAGGTGTCACC